AAGCTTCCACGCCACCTTTCACCAGCTGCACCATTCAAAACCACCCTGTAGATCACCTAATATCCTCACTTCTCACTGCACACAGGAAGAGCCTATTCGATTCATTTTCTGGTTTTGACATCACCACAACTTCCATGTTTTCCCAAACTTCAGGCATTAAGGTATCCTGTGATTTTTCCATTACCAATGACCATCTAAGCTAGTTATTCCTAAGCGTTTTCTGTAAATCCACTCACACACCTGTGGTCTTTCAACTCAGAGATGTATTTTTAGAGGTTAATTTCTATTAGTTCTATAAACAGAAAAATCAGTATCTATTGCAACAAATGAGTGATAACTATGAAAATCAATGTCATTTTAAAAGTTGTTAAATATGGAGGCTGGCGCTGTGGTGAAGCGAGTAAAGCTGCTGCCTGCAGTGCTGGCATCCCATATGAACACCAGTTCGAGTCCCGGCTTTTCCACTTCTGATCCAGCTCTCTGCTATGGCCTGGGAAAGCAGTAGAAGATGGCCCAAGTCCTTGGGCCCCTGCACCCATGTGGGAGACCTGGAGGAAGTTCCTGGCTCCTGGCTTCGGTTCGGCGCAGCTCCGGCCATTGCAGCCAGTGGAACCAGTAGATGGAAGACCTCTCTGTCTCTACCTCTCCTTCTCTCTCTGTGTAACTCAACTTTCAAATAAATAAATAAATATTTTTTAAAAAGTTGTTAAAGTACATAAGTACTTTTGGCCCACTGAAGTCTGTCATTTTCAGGGGCAGGAACTCAAAGCCTGTGAAATCATTTGTTCTGGTCTTAGGAAGGCAACTGCAGGCATAACTCGAAACTCAATACACATCTACGGCAGGTTCGTTTTCAAGTGGGTAGATTTGCATGGCCTGCAAATGATGTTATAAATATCCAAACGGCCCTTGGCAGAAAAAAAGGCTCCCCACCTCTGTAGGAAGCTTTAAAAAGTCAGAAGCATCTTCAAACCATAACAACAAAATGTATCCCTGAAGAACTGAAAAGAAGTTGAAAACATTCTCCGTCTGTCATTTCAGTGTTACTTGTGCGTATCCTGCTGTCTATGTTGCCAAACATCAACTCATGCATGTGAAGTTGGGAATCAGTTGGGTCCATGAGGTCGTCTCTCCACGCCTCTCTGCCAATCTCAACTCTGCACACACACACACACACACACACACTCACATACACACACACACACAGCCTGGCTGGAGTCCTGCCCTCCCGGCGCAGGTGTGCTCATGGAACTCAGTGCGCAACGCCTGCTCCTTCTGCTGGCAGACGCAGGGCCGTGGCTGCTCTGTGGTTTGGAGGTCACTCCACTCTACTTTTCAATGACTCACATGCAAGCTCTGAAGTTTATTTTCTCTGGCCTATAGTGATTAAGGCAAGATTTATGGAGGACTCTTTTTAATCCCCTGATACAGAGCATCACACCTTCTATGGGGTGGGATTAACGCGAGTGACTCCAGGAACAGCGAGTGACTGATGGACCAGCACTTCCTCCCTAGACTATTCAGGGTCTTATCTCCTCCAGCAGATAAGCATCCCCACAAGGGCCTGTGCTGAGTCACTCTTCTAACATCTAGGCCCAGCTCAGTGGGAGAACATTGGGGAATTGCTATAAATCCTTGTCAGATGAAGAAATGACCCTCTGAGAAAAGACCATAGGAGACCGCATTCAATGACAGTGTTGCCTTTTCCAGAAGTGTGTGCTGTAGGTTCAGTGCTGCTGCAAGTTTTCCTCCAACTGTATTTTTTACCTTGATGCCACATAGCTTGATGGCCAAGCCCCTGAACAGTCTGAAGTTTATACAGCATAACACACACAAAACTTGGCACACTCATCATGAATATCAGCCATTATCACCTTCAGTTATCACCAAATACTATAGGGGATGCTTAGTCTTTTTTAAGATTAGTTACTTATTTGAAAGGCAGAGAGAGAGAGAGAGAGAGAGAGAGAGAGAGAGAAATTTCCTGTACTCTTTTCTACCCCTCAAATGGCTACAATAGCTGAGGCTGGGCCAGGATGAAGCCAGGAGCTTCTTCCAGGTCTCCTATGTGGGTTTAAGGGGCACAAGTACTCAGACCATCTTCCCCTGCTTTTGCAAGCACATTAGCAGGGAGCTGGATTGGAAGTGGAGCAAACAGGATTTGAACTGGTGCCCATATGAGACGCCAGTATTGCAGGCAGAGGTTTTACCTGCAATGCCTCAACACTGACCCCTAACAAATGTTTTATTAATAGTCATTATTAGCAATAAGACAGAGACAGATAAAAGTATTCCATTTATAAATTAGCTACAGGGAAGGTGAGCAAACTGGAACAAATACTATACTTGACTTAAGTATTATAAATGAGTTGTGATTAAAGCTTTGAAGTAAATTATAACTAATTTTTTTTTTTGACAGGCAGAGTGGATAGTGAGAGAGACAGAGAGAAAGGTCTTCCTTTTGCCGTTGGTTCACCCTCCAATGGCCGCCACGGCTGGCACACTGCGGCCAGCGCACTGTGTTAATCCGAAGCCAGGAGCCAGGTGCTTCTCCTGGTCTCCCATGCGGGTGCAGAGCCCAAGCACTTGGGCCATCCTCCACTGCCTTCCCAGGCCACAGCAGAGAGCTGGCCTGGAAGAGGGGCAACCGGGACAGAATCCGGTGCCCCGACTAGGACTAGAACCCGGTGTGCCGGCGCCGCAAGGTGGAGGATTAGCCTATTGAGCCGTGGCACCGACTCATAAATTGTAACTAATAATTACGACTTAAAAATTCCTCGATTTTGAATGCTACCCATGAAATCATATTAAAAATCACCAGTGTAAATTATTTATTATTTTTATCTATTTATTTGAGAGACAGAGGCAGATAGACAAAGAGAGCCCCATTTGGTTTTTTGGTTCACCCCCAAAGTGGCTGCTACATCTCCAAAGCCAGGAGCCAGGTGCTTCCTCCTGGTCTCCCATGCAGGTGCAGGGCCCAAGGACTTGGGCCACAGCAGAGAGCTGGACTGGAAAAGGAGCAACCCAAACAGAATCCAGCGCCCCGATCGGGACTAGAACCAGGGGTGCTGGCACCACAGGCAGAGGATTAGCCAAGTGAGCCACGGAACTGGCCGCTCACTTGGGGTCTTAATCTTTGCTTCAAACACCAGCCCCACTGTTCCAAATTAAAGATCATCGCATAATTAAGTTAAAGATGGCATAAAAGGATTATCGATTATCACTAAGGTCCGAAGATTGAGATGACTTTATGAATATGCCTAAAAATGCAACACCGGTACCGTGTCATCACCATAATGTGAAAAAGAGGCACTAACACAGGGAGTTCAATGTCGACCCTGACTTCGACCCACTGAATATGAACTTAGAGATGTTTAAAAGAGGGATAGGCTGGCGCCGCGGCTCACTAGGCTAATCCTCCGCCTAGCGGCGCTGGCACACCGGGTTCTAGTCCCGGTTGGGGCGGCGGATTCTGTCCCGGTTGCCCCTCTTCCAGGCCAGCCCTCTGCTGTGGCCAGGGAGTGCAGTGGAGGATGGCCCAGGTGCTTGGGCCCTGCACCCCATGGGAGACCAGGAAAAGCACCTGGCTCCTGGCTCCTACCATCGGATCAGCGCGGTGTGCCAGTCACAGTGCGCTGGCTGCAGCGGCCATTGGAGGGTGAACCAACGGCAAAAGGAAGATCTTTCTCTCTGTCTCTCTCTCTCACTGTCCACTCTGCCTGTCCAAAAAAGGGATAAGTGTTTGGCACAAAAGTTAACATGCGGCTTGGTACGCCAGCATCCCATGTCAAAGTGCCTGGTTCAAATCCCTGGTCCTCTTTGGATCCAGTTTCCTGCTAATGAGCACCCTGGGAGGCAGCAAGTGGTGGCTCAAGTACTTGGGTCCCTTCCATTCATATGGGACACCCAGATGGATTTCCAGTATCCTGGCTTTGGCCTAGCCTAGCCCTGGCCACTGCAAGCATTGTGGGAATAAACTAACAGAGGGAAAAATCTCTCTCTCTCTCTAATAAACAAAACTTTAAAAAAAAAAAAAACATAAGAAATATTTAAAAGAATCAAGGAGACTTTGATAAGTGGGAAGCACCAGATTTTTCACCTATTGCTCTTTGCTCCTATTTTAAATTATGGTTAAAAAAATACACCCACTGCCTAAACCACTGATAAGTGTGAGGTTCAGTAGTGCTAAGTACATTTACTATATTGTGCAAACAATCTCCAGGGCATTTTCATCGGCAGAAAGTGAAACTCGGTCCCCACTACACATGCCGTGTTTCCTCCTGGCCACCACCACTCTGGGTCTCTGTGACCATGACTCATCTAGATAGCCCCTCTAAGTGGAATCCCATGGTGTTTGTCATTGTGTCTCTTTGATCTATTTTTCAAGAGTAAATGAAACCTCATCAGGATGGAGCCAAGTTATCCTGAGTCAGTTGCTATGTAACCATCTGTGTTAGTACAATGCACTAAGCTAATTCATGGCTATCCACTCAATGATGTAGGTTATACCCACTTCACAGGTGAGAAAGATAAGGTTTTACAGGGTAAAACGCCTTGCCAAAGGCCGCAAATTCATTCAGCTGTGGGGGCCACGGAATCCAACTTACCAAAGTCCACAGTCTTCACTACACTTGAATGCCTTTGAAATATTTGAATTTCTAAAGGATTTTAGCCCTCTACGTATTTCAAACAAGTCAGAGCTGTTCTTTTTGTTCACATTTAATTCTTAACAGTCCATGTGGTCCTCATGGATTTTTGTGAACTAACTTATCCTAAAAACCATGTCTCAGGGTGGTACTCTAGCTGTGTCTCAAGGCTTATTCTAACCCACGTGCCACGAGCCCACCGAATACCAGTTACCTTCTGTTTTCTCCAGCAGTTCTTGGGAAGGAAGAAGCAATTATTGCATTAAATTCTTCCGACCAACACACAGCTTCCTAGTGTGTAGCACATATCGAGGGTGAGAGGAATATTATTTTTTAAAGAGCGACACTTACTTTCGTGGAAGGCAGCCCCAGCTTCTTCAGTTCTGGCACATTGTTTTAGTGAATGGAAGTCACTCTACCACACCGAACTCCTCTCTTCAAATGTGCCCTGCTGTGGGCGGGCACCTGCAGGTCTGTTTGCACAGCCACCTGGGACTTGAAGTCCCACCTGCATGGTTCCGAGGCTGCCCAGCCGGAAATCCTGAATGGCAAGAGAACTACAATACCCACAATTCGGACTCCTCACCTGAAACCAGGAGGAGAAAGTGCATAGCTGGAGTTTCACCCTAGGGTAAAAGGGAAAACAAGGCAAGCCATAAGGAAAAAAAAAATGGAGTAGCTCCAAGAACAGTCTGTATGTGTGGTCCTGTCTGCAAAAGGAAAGAAGGAAGAGTGCTTTCATGTTTGCCAAGGGTGGGACGTCTCCCTCCCAGTAGGCAGCAGTGAGAAATCTTCGGGCAAACAAACCCCATGTAGCCTTGGAACCTGCCCCACCAGATTCTCTGTCACTGATTCACAGGTGAGAGTTCCGGGCTGTCTTGTGCAGCCGGTGAATGACACCTTCCCAGTGCTGCTAAGATTGTGTGCAGAGCTGCCTCAGCTGGAACACCTGTGACCTTCTAACCCCTCATCTTCCAAAATGCACTGGATTTAGAATGCGCTTGTCAGAATGTGAGTAAAATGAACATTTCCTGATGTTGCTTTCCGTTTTCCTCACCATTTCTGGGTTTCCTGCCATACTTCTGTGTATTCCAGCATTATTTCCAATTGCTCAAAATTCAAGAAGGACAAAATAACAGAGGGGGAAACTCAACGAAATGAGAGATGATAATTATTTTACCTGTTTGCAGCATCAACAACCAAGAAAGTAAAAAAAAAATGCAAGTTAAAAACTCAGAAATGTGTTTCCCTTGCTACTTCCTATAGTCTCTCTCTAGTCATTTATTTCCTGTTAGACACACCCAAAAATGCATTGACACAAGCCCTGGCTTGATCTGGGCTCAAAATCACATAGAAGGGGCCGGTGCTGTGGCGCAGCAAGTTAAAACCCTGGCCTGAAGCACCAGCATCCCATATGGGCACCAGTTCGAGACCTGGCTGCTCCATTTCCCATCTAGCTCTCTGCTGTGGCCTGGGGAAGTAGTGTAAGATGACCCAAGTCCTTGGGCCCCTGCACCCACGTGGGAGACTCGGAAGAAGCTCCTGGCTCCTGGCTTCGGATCAGCACAGCTCCAGCTGTTGAGGCCAATTGAGGAGTGAACCAACAGAAGGAAGACCTCTCTCTCTCTCTCTCTCTCTCTCTCTCTCTCTCTGTGTGTGTGTGTGTGTGTGTGTGTAACTCTGACTTTCAAATAAATAAATAAATCTTTTAAAAAAATTATATAGAAGGCTGACTCCGCAGTAGGCAGAGGGCAGAATGGAGACACAGGAGAAGACTCCTTTCCCATCTCTGGACATTCTCTTCCAATTTCTATCCCCCACCCCTTCCCGCCTTCCTCATGCATATTGGGGCTTCCTGGGGCCCAGACCACCTTAACTCCAGAGCTGTGTAGACCCCGAGTCCTCCCACAAACAAAACTGAGCCATCCCTACTCCCTTTGTCACCTGTCCCTCAACAGCCTACTGGAACCCAACTGACTTCAAGGGCATTTGTAATCAATCCCAAACAAATGCCTCTCTTTCACCCAAACCCCTCAGATTTTGCTCTTGCACTCTTTCTTCTCTTCCAAGTTCTCTTGGCTCACTGTTAATTGCTCAGATCTTCCCTGTCTTGCAAAGAATGACAAAAACCCACTCTTCTCCAAGAAGCCTTCCCCAATCCAGCTTAAGCCCTCCTTCTAATAAACTCCATGATATTATATGTGGTCCTCTAATAATACATTCTGTTCCTTCATTGTTCTACATGACAGTGAATACATGCATGCAGCCTTACTTTCCTATCTGAAGGCAAGACCCTACTGCCTTCCCACCTGATTATCACAATAATGTACATGTGCCTGCTTCGGATAAGCAATCAGTGCATGAAATACCCGAGTCCTTGCCTCTAACTGGGTCAATACCCAATACCATAAGGATCTCTCCTAGAAAGTATTTGCTTTCTCAGGGCAGGCACTGTAGGGTGGGGTAGCAGGTAAATCTGCCGCCTGCAATGCCGGCATCCCATATGGGTGCCGGTTCTAGTCCTGCCTACTCCACTTCTGATCTAGCTCTCTGCTATGGCCTGGGAAAGCAATAGAAGATGGCCCAAGTGCTTGGGACCCTGCACCCATCTGGGAGACCCAGAAGAAGTTCCTGGCTCCTGGCTTCAGATCAGCACAGCTTTGGTCATTGCAGCCAGTTGGGGAGTGAACCAGTGGATGGAAGACCTCTCTTGCCTCTCCTTTTCTCTCTGTGTAACTCTGACTTTAAAATAAATAAATACATCTTTTAAAAAATACATTTGCTTTGAAAGAGCTCTCTCTTTGCCAAGAAGGAAGTGTTATCAGAATCTCCCTGGATCTAGTCTTATGTGGCTTCCACAGTCCTTATTTGCAGCAATGCACAGGGAGAAAGCTAGCGATCCAATGCCTGATACTACCTGACTTGAAGGCTCTAAGGTGTCTGCACTCTCTCCAGCTTCGTTTCTCGCCGTGCACTTGACTTTCTAACAGCAGCCCAAAGCTTGGCCTGCCCGGAATGCTCTGCTTCCATCTGTGATTTGTGGTCATCACCTCCACTGTTTCTGGCTCTCTTCCTCTCTAATCTGAACCCCCTGTGTTGAAGACTGTACTCTGAACTCTTTAAATAGCCCCTAATCAAGGCTCTTTCCAACTCAGGGAAGGGCATTGTTTCAGCAGCTCCGTGTGTCTCTGCTTCCATGGGATTCTCCTGGTTCTTGCACATCCTACTGCATCTTCTGGCTGTCTGGACACAGAGGAAGTGAGTCAGACCCTGCTGACTCACACAATGAGATTTCCGTGGGCCATCAGACACAAGGACTGGCTGGTAAAGACAATTGTTTCCTGTGATATCTTTCTGACTCTCCTCTAATCACATCTAAGTGCTACTGTCCCCATAGCCTGCCTGGGTGAACACAATCTGAGCTATTTAAGTTGAGCCTGTGGTTGATCCTCAACCCATGGCCCAGGGCCACTTCCTAAAAAGGTCTCTTGTCGGTCTTTTACCCCTCCATGCCCCTTTCCACGGCGCTTGTAATGACTTTCACAGACATCGTGTGTTGTGCACCTGCTCCAAGGTGTGCTCATTTCTCCTCCATAGTCAAGATCACTTACAGCCATGAGATTCATTGTATCAGAAAAAAGAGCAGCATACGGGCATATGTTATTTCTCAAGAGACAGAAAAAGGGTTCAGAAAGCCAATCCCTTTGACCCAGGTATGTGGGAAGATGGATATCAGGAGCTACAAAGAACTATTGGGGCTTCAGTAGAAACACACAGGTAGACAGTAGAGAGTAAGACACACCTCTGTCCCCAGCCACGCAGATGCACCACAGTGGGCAGGTTGGCCCCGCTGGAAAAGGATGAGCTATTTCTACATCCTTCAGTTTGGAAAGAATGTGAAGGTACCAAGAATCTCATGGAACTGTAGAGGCCAGGAATGGGACAAGAAGGCCGTCCCACACCTTTGTGACTCTATAGAAACAGTACAGATCACCCATCAATGGGTGCCACACAGTGTCAGAGTCCTCAGAGCAGAAGACCAGCCGTGATACACAAGATGCCACCTGGGCTCTGGCCTTCTCCTCCTCCTGCCCCGTCCATGGTGTTATCCTCCTGCCCCTTTGACACATTCAGGTATCAACTTGGAGAGCAACTGAATGAGGAAGAGGAAAAACTCAAAGACTGAGAAGCCACTCGAAAGAATGTTTAAACTCAGAGAGACTGTGATGCACTCAAACCACTCCTTCATCCCCATCTACACACTCCAATGGCAACAGCAATCCGAATGCTGAAAGTCCAGTGACTCACTGTCCCCCCCCCGAGATAAGGGAGAGACAAAGCACTCAGGATGTCAGCAGACATCGATATTTGGTACCTGGAATCAGGAACTGGCAACACAAAGGGGCAGAGAGGACGTGAGTCCACCTTGTGTGGAGCAGAGGCAGCTGTACAAATAGTGCCCTGCTCTGGATGTGACAGTGGAAGCCAGGGAAGGCAGGGTCCAAGGCTCAGAGCTTGGCTCGTGACGAATGTGCTTTCTAGGGCTTAACAGAGACCACAAACCCACCCAGGAACACTGTGTTCACTGCTGCTCCGACTTCATGAGCCACAGGCCTGATCTCCCATCCTTCCCAGCAATTCTGTAGTAGGCAGGCATACAGGATAAAATTGATCAGGCTTGTGAGCTAGAAGACCACGCCTTCACCACGCCCCTGTGTGACCTCCTGCCCCTACCTGGCCACACCTGTGCGCCCACCAGCCAATCAGGTTAATTAACCACTCCTGCTTTGGAATGGGATTAAAAGCCTGGGACTTGGTGTGCCCAGCTTTTTCCTATCTTTGGTCTTTTGCCAGTGAGGGGCTTGCTGCCCCTGTGCCTCCAGGGCCACCCCCCTGTGCTTTCTGGTCTGCATGCTCCTCCACGTGGCTGGCTCCTGGTACTTGGTATGAACCCAGATTTCCCTCTCTCTTTTAGATAGGGCCCTCACTCTCCTATGCATCTTTCTCACTGAATAAAAGCTTAAAACATATCATGCTGCCTTGTTCATTTTTGCTGATATCCAGGCATATATTAATATTGGGAATTTATTAATAAGCACACGGTGATATCATATGGCACCCCATAGTCTGATATCAATTCTAGGACTAAAGTTGGACATGCTGCCTTCAATTTAGACCAGTTAAAGTCATTTGCTGTAGTTTGAAGCTAAAAACTCCGGCTGAAAGATGCACCAACACAGCTTGTACACGCAGATGGCACCCCTACTGACCCCACCACATTTAGACTCTGTCAGATCAAGCATTTATCTCTATCCATAAGCTCCATAGTGTCTGGTCACAGTACATGTTAGTTGATCTAGGTAGAACTGATCAGTAAAACCAGGAAACTTATCTTAATGTTCCTCCTAAGTTAAAAATTTGGTGACCACATGGAAGCTGTCAAGTTGTTT